ATCAGGTGCTTGCAAGATGTTCGTTCTGGTGGATTAACTTCTAGGCCCACCGTTCAGGCTACCTTGCACACCTGCTGGAAGGAGATGTCACTCAATGGAGAAGTCACTCAGCAGCACGATGCCGTCAGCGTACTCGAGATCTGTTATGAGTAATACTGAGTACCTTCAGCTGAGTCGCTTCATAGCAAATTCCGCGTTGCTGCTGGGAACGACGCTCCTCCACATCACACAACCCACCACCATGTTGAACAATAGAGGCGAAAACACTTCTCAAGCACTCCATTGCTGCTGTTAAACCAATCCGACTGCACTTCTGCTATGATGGCACCTTTGGTACCTTCGTACAGTCCATTCAGCCGAGCGATGATCTACGGTACTCCAGAATATCACAGCATGAGCCACAAGGAGTGAAAGTGTTCCGAGGCAAAAACTGCTCGGAAGTCCAGAAATGCTGCGTGCCAGGGTAGCTGTAAACTTCTTCCCTGTTCGAAAATTGTTTTATACAGCGATATATTCCATGCAGGAGAGTCCATTTCGAAATGCTCACGAGCAACGTTGGAACAGTTAACTTCTACCTTCGCCATCTAGACCCGTTTGGAGCCCCTTGTGAATTTGGTTGTAAATTTGCAATGTGCCATTCAATGCCAATAATCACTTATGCCCCTCCATTCTATTTTAAACCTTTAACTACAGATGATTTCGCGCTTCTACGAAGAAGTATTATAGAGCAAGATCCAGAGAATTGCACTATAGAGAAGATCCAGTGAATTTCAACACGGTCTCGTAGCTAACATGATTGTGTAAAATGCTTATGGCAGTGCTGTCTCCTTTGCTGTAAGGATATTGCAGAATACCACCCATTCGCTTCACACACATTTAGCGACCTCTAATTTTCGGAGTCAGACTACACGAGGTAACTTCATCTTTTGGAAAACAAGAACTTAGTTGTACAGAAAATCAGAGGCTCCGCACTTAATTCGTACCCTCATGAATTCATCTCTTCCCTTCTACAGGCATTACGTAATAACTGCCTTGCTGTCGTACGCTGTATATATGAAGTGTTGAAAGCGGAAAGAAGCATCTTCACCTTTTTCTACTGCATTAATAAATACTAAGATATTGGAAAGCTTCGGCGACGACCGTTATATGGTCGGTCAGAAACACAACAAAACTAAAATATGCAATATGGAAGGATATTAATAGGCCAAGAAACAATATTTAGTACATGGGAAAAATGCTAACAAAACGATGAGGAACTTCCGGAAAGCGAAACGTGTTTGTTTTTTAACGCATAGCAACGATAACAGTAACTAAAATAAAACACCAACAAATAATTTTGTTCTTAGGTCTTTGCCTGTAGTACTATGCGAAGCTGTCAGTCGAACTGCTTTACTGGAGGTTGGGACAGCGAAGTGCAACAAACCGTCTGATCAAACGTTACCAGACAATCTAAAATTAAAGTTCGTTGTGACTATGGTTCGCAAACGTCAGTCGAATCAAGTACTTCTCATCGTAACTCTCTTAGTCAAAAACCGCGGCGCAACCTATCGTTGACAAACGCGTATAAAAAGTGAAAACATTAACGGAAACTAGAGATCGGACGTGACGACGAAAATTGCTCGTGTTCTCGGAGCGTTAGCGTAAATCCTTGTAATAAAATCCTTGTAATTACTCACATCTGCGGCGCCAAGCCGATATGCGAATCTTTCACGAAGTTCGTTACATGCTTCTGTTGGAGGAACACAGATGTCTAACTGACGTCACTGAGGAAGAAAACGCTCCTCATCGCTATTTATTAACGCATATTGACAAACGTTCGCCGTTTTCATGGCCATAAACAAAAGTGTTAGAAAAATCTCAAAGAAGAATCGAATTGTTTGCGTTCTGCAGAATTAAGAGTGTCAACAACCGATTTAAGACCCACAGTAGAAAATCTCTGGGACGAGGTAAGACAAATAGGGGACAGTGCGGTTCGTTGCTGAGAAAGAAATCGAAAAGCGTCCACGTAACGGCGTCCGTTGAGAACGGGAATCTAACTCCTTACGTCGCTCCCGACCACGCTGACCGAATAAGAGGTATTTGATTTCCACACAATCGAGTGGCGAATCAAAAGTGAACTGCCTGCTATTTTTAGACGTAAAGGATCAGACTGAACGATCTTTCTGATGAGCCGAGGAAGAAATCAAGCCGGTTCAACAGCCGGCTGTCATCATAAACTGAGATTTACAATGCGTGACCGTTCAATATTTACTGAAGGATAGGTTAAATAAATAAACACAATATAAAAACAATTGATGAACTAAGACAGATTATGAACTGTCCGAAATAAAAAGAGCCTCGTCAAAAACTAACCTTCATTTGAATTTAGGAAAGCGATACCATGCTGATTTTTCAAACCAAATCGATTTCAAGAAAATTCAGCTGACTTAAGCTGTTGCGCGAATACCTCATCTAACGCATGCCTCTTTGAAGAATGGCCCATGATTTACGTCGCTTCTCCGCATTGCGCATCGAAAATCTGCATTATCAAACGAAAAACTTGTTTTTCGATCTTGTTTTTATGACCCTCAGTTAAATCCTAAAAAAAATTTTCGGCTTCGACGTGGTGATCAACAGTCGAACATGAAAAGTTGACAACAGCGTACTCGACGCTAGTCGATGGCCTTCTTTTACATCTAAATATACGGAAATCTAGGTGCTAATGAATGAGAGGACAAGTTAACGGCATTAAGAACGTTGCCGACTAACAGCGAGAAACTTAACTGCCTGCAGGCAATGGTGCATGTTATGGAAGAAGCTGAGGTGGTTGATGCGATCATTTTTCGCCACGCGAAGTCAACGTGTAAAGAGGAGTCCTTCAGGTCAACAGCTGAGCATTGTGACATTACTGGTCAACAGCGTCACCGCATTAGCAAGAATGTGAGCGTGATGTTGCTCACGAAATACGTACAGAAGCAACCCACTTACGAAGGCAATATAACTACAACTAAAGCTACAAGGATTTACTACTGTTGTTAGAGCCATAAGAAGCCAAACATCGCTGTTGCGTCGAGCAAACATACCAGCTTATAGCGATTAATTCACTGTCTTTTTAACAAAGGCAAAAAGAGAACAAAGCGACGGCTGGACGAAACGAAACGAAACCAAAAGGAACCATTTTGGTGTCAAAGTTCATATCACCGTATCTAAATCGGTGCTCAGGTGCGTTGCGAGAGGAGTCGAAAAAGCGTCGCGTGAAATCGCTCCGTAAATGAGGATTCGAAGGGAGAAAAACTTCACGAAACGCCCGCGACGTACTTGGCGCAGTTGACGTTGATCAACAAGAGTCGGTGGAAATGCGGAAAGAGTTGCCCTCATCTTCTTTTGGTATAACTGTTACGAGAAGACTAATTCCATGAAGAAGAGAGTTCGCCATGGATCAAATAATGTCTTGTCGTAACGGTGAGAGTCGTACGTTTTACCTCGTAACCGAATGGCAGCGAGGAGGCACCGGCATGTCGCCATTCATTCCTGTTGTCGTCCTGACAAATATGCAGCCTACCATTGCTCAGCATAATGGTCAGCAACCCATGGATATGCGAGGTCAACGGATGGCGAAAGACGTGGCGGAAATCACAGAAGATGCAGACAGATGGGCGAAGGCTGATGTCATGCTCGCTGTTCGTATAAAACTACTTAAGTATGAAATGACATCGTACTTCAGACTGAATGGATAACTTCTAACTTTTGACAACAGAGACTTAAAAACGGTAAATGCAACTCATCCAAAAAGCTTCAATCCATCAGCCTTGTCACTGAGGTCAAGTGCGACGTTGTGGACAGACCTCAGGCAACAATCGACGGTGCAAGTCGCGACGCGGCAACGCTGCTGATGATCCCCTTTAGCAGCGGTGCTGCGGTTCACTGGCCGGGTAAAAATGCGACCGGTAGAAGTCCGCGTCTCCCGGCACAAACGTAGCGGCATGGAACTTCGCATGGAACCGCCTACTGTACGACAGCAACCTTAACGGCTGTCGCGACAACAATGACAACAGGCCCAACAAGCAGCCGGCAACACAGCAGCGAGACATTGCTCTAGACATCCAGCGTATATAGGGGAACGTTTCTGCTGATCGCAGACAGAGCGAGATCATCCTCTTTTTCATAGCTTATTAAAGAAAAAACATGTAAATTACTTCTGCAATCAATGTCCAATTATCCTGCAAGCGCCATAAATTTTACCGCCAAATCGGGAAATGCTAGGGTTTCCGAAGCCATGTAACTTATTGATCAAAATAAAGGTGATTTTCAGGTACTGTCGTCGTTGCAATACGTCATCCGAACAAAACAAATAGACTTTAGGGAGTTTGAATAGACGCTGACAAGCGTGCCTTAAGATGATTGTAACTGATTCAAAACTAACAGAAAGGAACAGAGTGATGAAGGTACAAAGTTGTTTACTTTGGATTTTTTTTACCCATCTCTTTCAAAGTTGCAAGTAATCTTCGAAAGAAATTTCAACGGAGCCTAAGTATTATTTTTCTTTCGAATATAGCTTACAAATGATAGTGTACTCAAATGTGTTTTTTGATTTTCTTACTCAATTAGTCCAAATTCGGTGAGAGTGTAATCACTTTTATATCCGGAAGAAGATCCGCAACGATCTTGCATGTCAAAGTGGCAGGTCATCTGTGGGATGGGTTAAACATAGAGCAGTCATTCTATGGATGACAAGCTCTATTTTGATCCTGGGAATGTGGCTTTATTCTCATGATGTACAAATTTAAAATTAATTATTTTTCTGTTTTGCTATCACCCTTGCCTGAATGAGGTTAAGTTGTATTCACTGAGTGTCGAATCATGTGTCTTTTTCTCAGTCTCATTTCGGAAATAAAACTTTGAAGTTATTATTTACTAATCGCTGTTCCATCTTATGCGCAGCCAAAAAAGCATGGTTTTCATTTCTATCCTCACATAGTGCTGACTGAGTGCAACCTGTTTTAAGTTTCGTCCATTGTAGAACGTCGTGCGTTTTCCTAACAAGCTCACTGGTTTGAACTGAAATTTCATAAGTAATTTTACTTAACTAAATAAAAGCTCGGTCTGAAACGTGAGAAGTCCCTAAGTAAAGACTATTTTATGCGATGTCCTCCCGTTTGTGACTTACCTAAACATTATGTCCCCTCCCGCATAAAGAAATCATGTACGATTTTCAATTCTTGTAAACGTTTAATGTCATCAAAGTAAACTCAAACGGATTGACGAGTGCGCTATCGCTGTAACGTCCGATGCAACAATCGCAGCGATTTTGCGTCTCACGGTGATGAACCACTTCTAGGTAACCCCAAGCTAGTGACTTACTTCGCTATTTTGATCAGCTGTCCGTTGTAGAACTGAGTTCGTGGCTAAAGTTCAAAGGCGCGACGCCGACGGTTACATTGGCAAATACATATTGTAAGATTGAATATATTAAAAAGAAATTATACTTCAAAGTTAGATACTTCGGATTAACTTAGCGATAACTAAGCTGAGTTAATGGTGAGCGTGTCTTTCCGATCACTAGATTGTTGTTCGTCTGTTTCACTATTACGGCATACAATATCTTTCTTGTTCTCTATCTTACCTCTCTGCCAATTGTCCTTTTACGTGACATGGTTGTCATCTCCTAACTGACACTGAATGACGGGGTTCAATAAAAAGCTGCGTTCTGCCACTTCTAAACCTTAATCATCTGTCTGCTTTAGCAGACCATACGTTCCCGTATACTGTTTCTGAGTTTTCGCATAGTTTCTTCTTTAGGTATCACCACAAGTGAAATTGAAGCGATGCTGATACTCTGGCATTTTCTTCCTGTAATAGGATCCGTTTCTTATATAGAAGATCTTCCAGTTTCTGCCGAATACTGCATATTACCCACAACCAAATTTTTGGGCCATTCTATCATTTCACTTACATTCCTTTGGTAAGGAATGAACAATAGACGGATACTGTTAAATTTGTCCGACGGGTAAGCAGTTAGGCTATGATTGATTCCGTTCAATTTCCAGTCTGCTTTTCTGGACTGATCGAGAATGAAAAGTTCCAGACAGCAGTTTTCTATTAAGTCGTCGAGCAATTTGCTTTTCTGCCCTTATAAGGAGGTAAGGTTCAATACATCCGCAAATTTCTTAGGTGCAAAGATTGTTCAAAACTAGCTTTCACAGACACTAATGCGAGTGATCCGTAGCTAACGTACTTTCCAGTGCGGGTAGACGGTTGTTACTAAGGTTTCTCTGTCCTTATGCACTGAGACGTCCAGAAACAGACACCTTTCATTTTTTTCAATTTTGCCCGTAAATTGAATCTTCTCGTGGATGTTCTGAGGTAAAAAGAAGGGAGAAGAACTCTCTTTGTCTGGTCACAAGCACCTGAATCATACACTTCGGTGGACCAGTCATGCCTTATGCAACCATGTTTCTTGGGCTGAAACTGTTCTTGTATCGCCTAGCCTTTAATAGTCTTTGCGCCTGCTGGAATGATTACACGATGGACAAGACATTTCAACAACAGTATTGTCATAACCGTGCTTCAGTAATGCGATCTCATAGTTAATGATATCAAGATGTGGATCGTGCTGCACAGCAAATGAATATCATCTGATTTCACATTGAAATTGATAGCTTCTTTAGCTATTTCATTAAGACAGTCGAAGCGATATCCTGGAGTTGGCACCGTTGCAAGAATATCTCAGTAGAAGCAGCCTTAGCAGACAGGGCTAGGGTAGTTCAATCAGAATGGTAGTGTCCGACGCACGATCGTAGGATCGCGAATTTGAATCACCAAGGTCACTTGCGTTTGCCCGTCAACCCTTGCAAGAAAGTAACGAACAGCATTGCACAAGACTCAAACAAGAGACTAAACGCTATTTTAACGACCTAACTTAGAAGGTGCTCTCAAAAACTATGCCC